CATTCCTGGGGGAGGGAATTGTAGAAAACAGGCTACTGAGCTAGTTGGACCATGGGGTCTGATCCAGTTTGGCAGTCATTTTGGTCTTAAACTGCGGTTATTCAGAGGTCAGGGAGCATATAGGCTAAGTACAGACAGTCAAAAAGCCCGAGACGGAATTGATTCAGTCTTTGCAAGTTAGTGTAAACTGCAGAGATTAAACTGACTGACAAGTGAACAGACATTTATTTTTTGCAGCCACATGCCTGCAGTGACTCAGGCCAGGAGCTGGGGGTGTTAGAGCATGGCTCCCTGGCACATAGCCAACATAGGTTGCATTTACTTCCTCTTCCTGTTGCCCCCATGGTCTCTGGGATTTACAGTCCAAAATCACAGCAGGAGGACTCTGCAGGGTTGCTCATCACTTCCTCTTCCTGCTTCCAGGTGTCTCTGGGATTTGTAGTCCACAGCTGCAACCAGCAGTACGTTTAGCAGGGCAGGGCAGCTCTGTATTTGCAGGAAGGAGGGTTTAGCTCTCCCCCATCCCTGGCTCCAGACCCCAGCCCAGTTGCAGTTTGTTTGGGCCAGGGGGGTGCAATGCCTGCACCCCCCCACCCCACCACCACCCTTGCTCCCCAACCCTTCTTTGCTGCAGCAGACAGCTCAGCCCAGCCCAGGTTGGAAAGCATGCTGGGATGGCAGGGGACTGTGATTTAACTTGAACCAGGAATGTGGCAGAATTTTCATAAAACTGGTTTGACCCAAATCCATTAAGTCTGATACTATGTTCAACCAGGTTTATCTTAAACCAGTTCCTGCCATTTTGAAACGGGTTTATGTGCACTGAACTTCTGTTCTGTTACAGGTTTAAACCAGTTGCTAATCACTTAAACTGGTTTATGTGTAACTTCTGTCCCTAGCCATACAGACCTGGACTGTCCTGAGAGCTTTCTTAACTTCGCCTGTGTGCATTGACACCTTAGTAGCTTTGCAGGGCTGTGGAGTAGTTGTGGATTCAGATTTGGCTCAAGCACATTTTCAGTCCTTGACATGCCCCTCAATCCTTTGGCCCACTCCAGATTCCCTCTGCTATTTCCCAGAATGCCCCAGGATGTCCAAACTTGCTGCTGAAACAAAGTGGAGGCTCTCTGCTCTAGAGATAGTCTCTGTGTAAAAGCCTGTGTATGGCCATTTTATTGTAGTAGGCTGGCACAAATCTGGCTCATAGGGCTTAAATGGTGTCTTAATTAAAGCTGCCATTGATTGTTATGGGGGACTGAAACCAAAGGAGGCTTTGACAGTGGGACTGGGAACTTTTCGCTGCAAATTTCTTGAAGTGCAGCTTGGTGTTGTGGTGACTGTAAATCAGTAGAGGCCAACAGCTGTGTGGGGTCACAGTAAGTAGGAGGCATCAGTCAGGTCACAGTGACTGCATCCCATAGTGCACAAAATCCCAATGTAAGTGGAGCTTTTATTGGCCCAGAGACTAAGCTCCCTTCTTTTTCTTAAAGCTCAAAATAGAAGGAACATGCTGAGGATGTTTGTGCTGGTGGTGATGTCACTCTCCATGGTCCTTCGTCTGGCATAGTTAATGATCCCATTGAAAAAGAATAGAGGGAGCCCGATTCTCATCTTCCTTGCAATGGCATATATCTAGAATAAGTGAAGGCAGAATGAGCCCCAGTATCTGTACACACACAGCGCAGGTAAATCAGACAAATAACCAGTTTGTTGGAATGCAAATCAAATCTTGTATCCCCAAACAGCTTTGGGCTGTCAGCATGATACATTGGAAAATGAAAGCTGAAAAGTCTAATCGCCTCTATTCATTTCCCTGGATTGACCGGCGCAGCTGAACAAAAGGTCAGTCTGTGGATGTGCCTGACTGACAAGCCACCAAGCGGCAGCAGCCTTGTGTGTAAATACTCTGGGCGGTTGCACAAATGGCAAATTGTAATGACATGTGCTGAGATGACAAGAAGGAATTTGGTTTATTTGGTACAAGTGAAATATTTAGGTTACTTTTTGAAGGCCAGCCTACCTCACTTTTCACCTTAGGACGTGGTAGTTCTGTTAGAGGCATGGATCCATGCCTCTAACGTAGCTTCTGGGGTTTTTTGGGCTGCCTCTCACTGAACTGCCTGAAAATGTGTGACTGGTAGATTTTAAAATCATATGTTCAGATTGTGGCAGGCACTACACTGCTTTCTCCTCCCAGCCAGCTTGGACCCCGCAGCACCTTCACCATGCACAGATGTGTCGACCTCTGAAAACAAAGCAGTCTTCACAGATGCCCACGTGCATCTCTGTGCCATAAATATACTGGTTGAAAGAAATGCTGTGCCACATAATTGCTGCCAGGAGTGTTATCACATAGGTTTTCAGACTGGTCTTGGAAATTTTCTTGGTCTTTCTTACCTAAAATTCAAAGATATACGTTGACTGTCAGGACAACTGAACTAAACTGGATTTCTGAACCATCACATGATGTTCCTGGCGGGGGGTGCCTGCAGTCTCTGTGGAGCTCCAGATAGGGGGCAGAGGGGCACAGCTAGCCCTGTTCTCTGGAGCAGACAGCCCTGCCTAGGGCTGCAAAGCATCTGGGATGCTGGGGGACTCTGGTTTAACTTAAACCAGGAAGGGGTCTGGGACAGACATTGCATAAACCAATTTGACCCAAATCAAGTTAAGTCTGATACTACTTTCAACCAGGTTTATCTTAAACCAGTTTCAGCCATTTTGAAATGGGTTTATGTGCACTCAACTTATGCTCTGTTACAAGTTTAAACCGATTTCTGATCACTTAAACCGGTTTATGTGTAATGTCTGTTCCTAGCCCAGAGGACTAATGAGCAGGGATCCTGGTTTTCTCTGTTTAAAAATCACAATTCTGATTTTAAAAAACCATTGAAAACCCCCAAATCAGCATTTTTCTATGACTAAAATGAAATGCCACTATATAAATAGGTATCAGTTGAACACAATGTTTTATTGATATATTTACAATTTTAAAGCAATTTGGAAGCCTACCAGTGAATCACTATAATAAAATAAATTCTAAACATCTATACATTTTGGCATTTGATTTTGGGTTTTTTATCATGGAAAATCAGAGCTCCCTGTGCCCCCTTCATTAACTAGGATGCAGGTCCAGCTGTCATTTTCTCCCAACCCCCGACTGCTTTGTGGAGCTGAGAAGACTTGATATGCCAGTGTCCTGCCCATGCCATTGCCACCCACAGCCCTGCTGGTGCCCCTCACTCCCCACCCACAACCCCCCAGTCCCCACCAGCCCTGCTAGAAGGAGCCCCCAGCTGCCAGAGCTATGGGGCCACAGCTCCCTGGCCCCAGCAGCAGTGCCCAAGCCCCAGCTGCCACTCATGGGAGGCAGCAGCAGCAGCAGCAGCAGAGCAGAACGCAGAGCCTGGCTCCCTTTCCTCCATGGGAGGCAAAGCTGGAGCTGAGCCCATGGCAGGGGGGATGGGGCTGGGCTGCTTGCTGTGGGCTCAGCACTCCCTGCCCTGCCCTGCTGCCCTCCCTCGGGAGCCTTCGTGGCTCAGCAGGCAAGACCTGACATGGCATGGCAGGGCAGAGCAGGGCTGAGTGGGGAAGCTTGGTGCCACTGCTGGGAGTCCTGCAGCACCATGATGAGGTTCCCCCTACTCGCCCAGCAGTGAGGGGCACAACTCTGTTCCGCTGCCCGCGCTGCTGTTGGGTGGGCAGGGGGTGCTTCACCATGGTGGTGTGGGGCTTGCAAGGGTAACACTGAGCTTTCCCACCCTGCTCTGCTCTGCTATGCCAGGTCCTGCCCACTGGGCCATGGAGGCCCTGGGAAGAGGGTAGCAGGGCAGGGAGCCCCAAGCCTGCAGTGGGCAGCCTGCCCCCGCCCTGTGCACAAATCTGGGAGGCAGATGCACCCCAATGTCCCCCCCCCCCAGGAATGCACACAGTGATGGGGAGCCAGCCCCTCCATCATCTGCAGCTCCATCCCATTCCCCACCCAGGCCCTGTAGCTGCATGTTCCAGCCCTGGTCTGCAAGCCCGATGCACTGCCCCAGCTGGGCAGCAGTCCCAAGCCCCTCCCTCCCTCACTATGGGGGCCTCAAACCCCCCTCCTCCCCAACTTACCTGCCAGAGGTGCTCTCCAGGCTGCCTGGTGGCCATGAGGATGTGTGTATGCGCACATGCACATGGTGCCTCCTTCTTGACCACCCTCCACCCACTCTGCCAGCCTGCAAGGGGAAATGCACTGTTTCCTGTGTTTTTATAGGAAGAAATCCAGATTTTTCTCCTCAAAATGAGAAAATCTGGGGTTTACCGCATTTTTCCACGGCAAATGGAAAATCCAGATCCCTGCTAATGAGGTCCAAACACTTGAAAGTGTACCTTAACCAGAGAATAGTTCAAATGATCTAACTGTCCTCTTCACTGGTCTAGCACCTTCAAGGACCTCTGAATCATTAAAGCCACAGGACACGTTAAGAACCAGATAAAGACCAAACAGGGAAAAATGTAGGCATTGTGTGACACAAGTATCCACACACATAGATAAGACACCTCCTTAATTCCCAATAATCTACTGTGCTTTAAAACAGAAGCCATTTTGGTTTCAGAATTGCTACAATCCTATTGCAAATTCACCTGGTAGGCCCTCAGGGAGACTTTGCTTTTGCTGTGTTCCTTAGTCTGAAATATAAATGGAGGATGCGATTCATGTCGTTAGTCTTACTGAACCATCAGGCTTCAGAGTACTAGTGATTAGGGGTCTTTTTTTAGAGCTTTGTTACACATTGCACTTCTTCTAGCTGCTCAAACGTTGATCAGTGTTACTGCTAGCACAGAACAAGCTTAGGAATCTCAGATGTTCTCCAGTCAAGGCAGTAGGGAGCTGAAGTATACAATTAATCTCCAGAGAGCTCTCAGTCTGTCTTTTGGGGTCAAACTTTATGAGATTTTTGGGGCTGATTAATCCACACTGTAACTCTGATGAGGCATCGAACACAAACCCTGCACTTCAACCCATCTAAACCTCTACCGCATCCAAATCTCAAACTGGCCCCTAAGACATCCCTTTTTCAGTGCAGTTTGCAGAGCTTGGAAGAATGTGGTTAGAGCATGCAAGAGCAGCACAAGTCTCAGATTCCTACCCTCATCTAGGTGTTGCTCCCAGAGAAGTGAATCCCTGCTATAAACAGGCCATGTGGCCATCTTCCCCTTCTGGCGATCTTTGAGCTCCTCCTTTCAGAAAGTGGAGAAAAGGAAGATAATATAATACTAAACAGACAATGACAAGAAAACTGAAAGCTTGTGGTGTGTTTTTTCCCCCAGGCTCCATTATGTTGCCTCTTCAGTAATGTTTACATGGTCCCATCAATCTTATTTAAACTTCAGTGTAAATAAATTGCAGCACATTCACAGGCAGATCACAGTGCTCTGACTCACCCAGTCCCAGCAGACATATATTAAATTAATTTTAGAATGTATTCAAAATAAATTCTGTTTCAGCCTGTACAACTAAGAGCTCTGCATGTCGTACATTAGGGCAAAGCAACACAGGATATCTAATAGGAGGACTTTAATTAGGTTGAGATAAGCCTCATTAGAACTCCTCTCATGAATAATGTAGGCCAAACTATAGATAAATATCCCCCTATCTCCATTTGTTTGGTGCAGATAATTGTCATGCTGAAGGAAAAAGAAAACTTTTTTTTTTGTTTCTTTTTCCTAAACTGCACATAGGATGGATTACTCTTCCTCAGGTGCAGGGCTGTATTCTGCCTTTTATTAATGCTGGGGAGCTTCCACTGAAATGGCAGGACTTCATATGTATTCTTGTGACATTGGGAGCCCCTTAGATTAAAAATATATTTAAATAGTTAAGAAGTATGAAGGAATGTGCATTTTCCCACCTAGCATTTTCTATTCCATCCAGTGCCCATAGCTGTGTTACTCAGGTGAAAACAACAGAAGAATGAGGAAATACAGGCTAGGCATATCAGTCTCCAAAACCAGTTACCAGCTAAACCAATACTTGCTAAATCTGCAGGATCTACTTGTTTAAGATACCATTGCCTCCACAGTCTGAAAAGTTAGGCAAAATCTGGGACCTTGCCCAGCTGTTTCCTGTAGGGTGTGAAATCAGAGATGCAAGTCAGGTGTATTATGAGAGTCGTTAGAAGTTGTGCTTTGCCGTGTGTGATGTCGGAGGTCTTATGGCTCGTGCCACCCGTTGGATAGGTAGCCCCTTCCCTCGTCCCGCCTGCCACGACTTTGCTGGTATATTATTGTGAGAGGGTTCCAGTGGAGTTCTTATCAGAGGGGTTCCCTGACACCGGTGTACTCACAGCTGTTGCCTATGGTGTTCCACGGGGCTCCGCCATCCCTACACCCCGTCCACTCGCCAACCGATCACATGCTGATGGGATGGTGACCTTAGGTCCTCTGCGGGCTTGCTCGCTGTCGGTTTCACCAATGCAGGGACTTGGACTCGGCTGTACAACTCGGCCAGCCTGTCTTCTTGTCTCTCTGGCTCTTCCGCTATCTCTTTGCATCCTTCACTCTTAACTTCTCTAGAAATAATATTCCCCTTGGGTAGGGAGGCTCCCAGAGCTGCCTTCCCTTATCCAGTGGATTCCAGGGGATTCTGCCCCTGTCCCTGACTCTATTTCTCCTAGGGGCAATGCTGGCAAACGCAGGGTACCTCGTCGTTCCCCTTGCCTCCCTCCTCTCAAGGGGAGTACTGGCCTCTCCCTGCTCGCTCCCTGTTGCAAGGCAGGAAGTTTCCCCTTGCTTTCCTCTGCTAGTGGTTTAGAGGCTTCTCCTGCCTCTTGTGCTGGTACAGCACAGCCTACCTGGTGCCTTTCCCCAGCAGGAGCCTCAGCACACCAGACGTGCTGCCTGCTCTCTCTCCCTCTCTCTGACTCCCCCTCCCCACGGGTGCTGTTGGGGGTTTTAAACTTTCCCGCAGCGGCCATATCGGCTGCTGGGATTTGGCCCGCCGTCCCC